AACTCTAAACCTTAGACAACAAACACTAAACCCTAAACCCTAAACACTAAACCCTAGCAAACAGCTTAATACCTTGCTCCTTTACCTAAACCCTAAACCCTAAACCCTAAACCCTAAACCCTAAACCCTAAACCCTAAACCCTAAACCCTAAACAGATCGGAAGAGCACACGTCTGAACTCCAGTCACCGATGTATCTCGTATGCCGTCTTCTGCTTGAAAAAATTACCTGGAAGAGTATATCGAAGGCGGAGAGAAAGAAGCGAAGAAGAAGGGCCACGACGAAACAGAAAACCCTCCACGCACCAAACCTGAACACCCCACCTCTAAACCCTAAACCCTAAACCCTAAACCCTAAACCCTAAACCCTAAACCCTAGCGCGACCCCCTCCCCATGACGCCTCCATCTATCTGCTTTTCTGATGCCTGCAGCCCTCCTATCATCAGTAGGGTTTAGGGTTTATATATCAACGCTTTAGGGTTTAGAGTTTATTTCCAGGTTTAGGGTTTATTAGGGTTTAGGGTTTATTAGGGTTTACTGTTAATTAGGGTTTAGCGTTTATAAACCCTAAACATACATTAGTGTTTAGCATCTACTAGAATTTAGGGTTTACTAGGGTTTAGGTTTCCTAGGGTTTACTAGGGTTTAGGTTCACTAGGGTTTACTAGGGTTTACTAGGGTTTACTACGGTTTACAAGGGTTTACTAGGGCATACTAGGGTTTACAAGGGTTTAGGTTTACTAGGGTTTACTAGGGTTTACTAGGGTTTACTAGGGTTTACTAGGGTTTACTAGGGTTTACTAGGGTTTACTAGGGTTTCTCGGAAACAATAAAAACATAATATCCTATTGTTTGCTATCCTTTCCTCGTGTTTATTTCCTCGGGTTTAGTCCCTAGGGTTTATTTTCTAGGGTTTAGGGTTTAGGGTTTAGGGTTTAGGGTTTAGGGTTTAGGGTTTACGTACCCGCTATTGAGTACCCAGGCAACGAGTGTATGTGCATGCTGATGGAGATATCTCCCCCATGCTTCTTTTGTATCTATACACATTTCTTCTGTTGCTTCGATGGTTTTCTTTATTGCGGCGTATATTTTTTTCTTTTTAACTAAATATAAAACATCAGCCACGCTCTGCTGCCACCCCCATCCCTCTCTCCATGTATATACACCCCAATCATCTCTCTTTTCTTTTTCTTTTTCTCTCTTTTCTCTCTCTCTACGAGCTCGTGAACTCATCCATACAAACACCAATGAGGGGCCCCCAAATATAAACCCTTCTAAACCCTTTCTAGGGGGCCCCCCAAACCCCCCCCCTTCACCAGGGGGGCCCCCCATACTACCACCACCAGGGGGGCCCCCAACCCCAACCAGGGGCCCCCACGGGTCCGCGCACGTCGCTGTTACCTCATCATGCAGCAGAGACAGAAAGGGTCCAGATAGATAACCATACGCAGCGGGGGGGCCCCCAGGGGGCCCCCCGGGGGGCCCCCCAGGGGGCCCCCCAATGTCTATTGAGTTTCCTTCTACTACTACGCTGCAGCTATGGGGGGCCCCCAAGAGAGGGGGGCCCCCAGGGGGGCCCCCATCAACATCCTCTATACCCCCATCAGGAGAACATGCTGCAGCAGAAGATTCTGCTGCTGATAAACCCTGCTGCTGCTGCTGCTGCTGCTGCTGCTGCTGCTGCTGCTGTGAAGGAGGCCGCAGCAGCAGACAGACATCCAGCTCATCGATAAGCTGCCGTGCATGCGGGGAGAGCCCGCTTATCTCATCTTCCTCTTCCTCTTGCTGCTGCTGCTGCTGCTGCTGCTGCTGCTGCTGCAGCAGCTGCTGCTGCTGCTGCTGCTGGTGGTGGGAGTTTGTGTCTGTCTGCAGCAGCTGAAATTTTTGTGTGTCTGTGGCTTGTCTTTGTCTGGGTGAAGTACGTGTATCTGCTGCTGCTGCTGCTGCTGCAGCTGCTGTAGTTTCTGTGTCTGTTGCTGCTGCAGTTTCTGCTGCTGCTGCTGCTGCTGTTGCTGCTGACGAAGCAGATGCTAGCTCCTGTATAGCTAGCCATAGATCCGAGTACCAGCCCAAGCTGCTCCCCAGGGGCAGCGCAGCAGCAGCAGCAGGCCCCACACCCCCCAAGCTGCTGCTGCTGCTGCTGCTGCTGCTGCTGTTGCTGCTGCTGCTGCTGTTGCGTACAGCTGATGCTGCAGCAGCAACAAAGCCAGCGAGTGTATTGGGTGTTTGTGTGTCTGGGGGAGCAGCAGAATTGTGCAGCAAAGGAGTATCTGCTGCTGCTGCTGCTGCTGCTGTGGTTGTTGTTGCTGCTGCTGCTGCTGCAGCAGCAGCAGCAGCAGCAAGCCCCTGCTGCTGATGAATAAATATAGAAGACAAGCGAGCGTATGTCTGCTGCAGCGGCTCTGCTGCTAGTATATGTTTATCTATGAGTGTGTGTGCTGCTAGCCATAGAGTGGTTATTTCATTATATATATAAAAACAAAAAAAACTTATAATTAATATACTCAATAAAAAAAAAGAAAATAGAACAAATACACACACAAACGGGCGTATATACACCTCAGCATCCACCCCACATACAGACAAAGAAGGACACAAAGACACGGAACGCAGAGGCCTGCATACACATACACATATATAAATATATATATATATATATA